GTTCTTCTTTTAATGTACAGCTACCATTTGCTTTGTTGACTCGAGTACGTTTAAAATTTATTTGTGTATGCGTGCGTTGTGATGTCTGTATGCCTGTGTACATTATTTTCGCCATTACGTGACCTATTTGTATATGTAACATTTTAACTGTTTCAGGAGGTATTTAGGTCAGTATTGACTGCACGGATGGCGTAGTGGTTTAAGCGGTCGCTACGCCGTTTCCCACTACGCCGAGTGTTGTGGGTTCAAACCCCACATGGGACGACACTTTGTGTGATCGACAAATTGTTGTTCTGAGTCTGGGTGTCCCACGACACAAGATATGTTCCTAACGCTGGCGTTTTCTTTAAAAAAAAGAAGAAAAATATAAAAATATATACTGTCCCGTTTGCTATTTACTTTAGAGCTTACATTAGCGTGCTTAGTGCCTGGATTTTATGTTTGGGGTAAGTAACTGAGTTACATAGGAATGCACTGATGGCATAGTGGTTTAAGCGGTCACCTCGTCTCTTCCTACTGCGCTGATTGTTGTGGGTTCGATCCCCACATGGGACAACACTTTGTGTGATTCACAAAAAAAAAAAAAAAAAACAGGGGACTGTACAATATAAACTATTTATGTTACTTCTGCCTACCAGTTTAGATTACTCATTTCTATTCAATTCTGTCGTCATTTAAAAGGTTAATATTAAGTAATGATTTGTCATATCATATATACCTACCTATATACTAAAATCCTTACAATCATTCAAATCAAAATAGGATAACGCATTGTCCTGCCACTAGTAAGTTTATTAATAAAGAAACTACAATACAAATATACAACACGATCTTAATATTAAATTAGAACGTATAATTTCTTACATATTCAATCTAATCGTTTAACTTATAAAACTGGTTAATATACATAATCATAATGTAATTGTTTAATTGTAGTTAATAGAGTTGTGTCGAGAAATGTGAATATGGGCGTATCTCGGACACGCCTCCTGTGGCTACAGGCTACGCCGTAGAACTTTTGACCGAGACACTGCGGTACGTTAACGTATTATTACGAGTGTGCGATGGCCCTTATCGAGACACTTTAACAATTATCTTATTTACTCTTTATGTTAATAATATGAAACAACGAATGTATGTTTAACTTTTTAACATTCGTATTCAGAGATGGTTCTGTCTTTCTAAAAGTTAATATGTATGTATATCTTATTAATATTTTAAACGCAAATATTATAAACGCAGATATATGGATGGATATTCGTTACTCAATCACGCCAGTACGGATGAATGAATCTGGATGAAATTTAACACAGAGATAGATTATAATCCCTTCATAGGCAATACCTTTTATCAAGAAAGATATTACTGTCAAAATTGACATTAACGTTAGGTAAAACTTGTTAAAGAATAAAGAGTAAAAGATTGAAGTTTGAATTTAATGTTTTTCACATAAATTTTATAAACATATTTCTGCTCTGCTCCTATTGGTTATAGTGTGAAGAAATATAGTCCATATCCTCGATAAATGACAATTTACTACTGCTTGTTTTTTAATTCGAAATAGTAATTCCTGAAGTCAACCAACGAAATAAACAAACAAACTCTTCTTCCTGTGTGATGAGCACGATGATTGGTTCTGTGTCTGGGTGTAATTTATCTATACTTTGTATGTATTTAGAAATATATAAATATGTTTATTAGGAGTCAGGTTACCATAGTACAGGCCATACATATAGTTTGGCAACAGACGGCCGTGTGTGAGATGTGGGAAATTATTATTATTACTTAAGTGTAAACCTTAAAAAATCCTAGGTTAAAGCACTTCCTTAATATTACCTTATACAAAATCTCTAAGTTTATTCATCAGTCTATCACGGTATTTTGTCGTAGATAATGTCATTAAGAAGACGTTTAGCTTAATAAAATGCGTTCAAGGATTCGTAAAATTAAATTACAAGCAGACAAGATGCATGAGTAATTGAAAACAATAAATTAATGTTAACAGCCTTTACTTAATTAATTGGTTACTGCTTGGTTAATGATTGCAATCAGTGCCAAGCAAGTAAAAAGAGATAACCGATGACTACTAAATTATAGAATATTCAGTAAATATTATTTATCTTTTAAAGCCAAATTACAACAAACTTCAACATATAAAAAAATAACAATAAATATTCTGGGCACAAGAAGTAGTTGGACTCTGGTACCGATGATAAGATTTAACTTGTGTTATGGGTTACCAATGCTCTCTCACAAGGTAACAACATTGTCTACGTAAATATAATTGAAGAAGGCAAGAGCAAAATGACAATTTAAACTAAACTAGATTTCAAATACAAAATAGTGAAAATAAAAACATGCCAACAAAAATAATGTAACTTAGGTGTAATAAAGCAAAGACTTTTACCACAAATCAATTCCATATAATTAAAATTAATATTTAAAATCAAATTAAAAATTAAAATCGAAACCAAAAATAAAAATAAACAATTCTATTGTAGGATATTTCCTAAAATTAGTTATTTAATTCTATTAATGACTTTAAATGATATTCTTTACAAAAATTTGATTCCAATCTTCTGATTTTGCGCCTAGTTTTTTTTTTCCGAGACATTTAATAATCTATAATTATTTAAAAGATAACTCAAAGTTATTTAATATTTCAAAATGTAATCAATATTTGATTTATAAGGCTGACCTTAATATTGCTACAAAATTTTCTATTTTCCTCTTTGCAAAATGGTAAACAGTAACTGATTAGATAGTATACTTCATGACTAAAAATAATTTTAGTAATATCATAACATTTTATTTCATTAGATAGATATTCTTTATTGCACACAAAAAAGTATTGCACATTCTAGAAATATATTAAGTGGCATTACGAAGGGCGATTCAATCGCAGTCTACGATTTTTTGCAGACAAACCAGGATAGATTATACTGTTATTATATATAATAGTAATACTATTAGTTAATATTAATTAATATTTAATTATTTTATAACTATTTACTGTTACTTTCCATTTAAAGCATTTCCCGCACTAAGAATATATCACACAAAAGACACCCAGAATCAGAACAACAATTTGTGGACCACACAAAGTCTTGTCCCATGTGGGGATCTAATCCACAATACTTAGCGCATTAGGAAGCGGCGAGGTGACCGCTCAAACCACCACGCCATCCGTGGAGTAATTTTTTTTTTAATCTGTCTAGCACTTAAAGAAAAAACCGTGTATAAAAATAACTTAAGTACATAATTACCACCGTATAAATACCACGAACATCTACACAGACATATTTAGAGTATTCAGTAGACCTACCTGTACAACATGAAATATAATGTATGTATTTAGGAAAATGTAAAAAGCTGCTGGGTAAAATTGTGGTGTTCGGTGCAGGAAGTGAATGTGAATTCATTATTGTTTCTAGACACAGGCGATAAGTTTGAAATACACAACATTTCTAACTGTTTCAAATAGGAACCATTTACGTGTATGTATGTTATAGGTAAATCTAAATACGGTTAAGTGTCCTTTTTAATCATGATTATAGTATTAGCCATCAATGAAGAGATAAAGAATATCATAAGTTAACTGCAACCGTCCACACCGAGATTTTAGCCGCCCAGATCTAACTATACTTCGGTTTTAAACACAAGATATGCACAAAAAGTATATATCTGACTGCGAGGATAGCGTAGTGGTTTAAGTGGTCACCACGCCGCTTCCTACTGCGCCGGGTGTTGTCGGTTCGATCCCCACATGGGACAACACTTTGTGTGATCCACAAATTGTTGTTCCGGGTTTGGGTGTTCTTTGTGTCCGTAACATGTATGTTTTTTAAAGTCCCCGCGACACAGGATATTTTCTTAGAGCGGGAGTTCTCTTTTTAAAAAATATATGTAGTTTGCGCTTCTTATATACGTAGGTAATCACATACGCAAAGTATTTACCTGTGTAAAGAAAAGTTATAATCATACCTACAAAAATCGTTTTGATAGGCTCATTGCTGATATTTTACAATGGTCGTATTAGCAGAAATATCTTAACGTTTCTATGACTGTTATCGATGTTAATATATTTCATACGAGACTTGAAGGAGTTACTATTTTAGTACCGGAATAATTGGTTCTAAAACTATCAAACCTACATACGTGTCATATCGGCATTACGAATGCGTTTTAATGAAGTTTGTACTGTATTTAAGCTTGACAACATACCTTGGTCTATAAAAAAATAACTGAAAGTATTATAGTTTGGAAGTTATAGATAAATTAAGGAGAACAATCGAACGCACACCAATACCAATCAACTAACAGGCTGTTAGGTTGAATGCTGATAGATTTCGTTATCGCTCGCCGCGCCTAACTCCGATTCACAATGGTTACAAACGTTATAAAGCCCGTGCACCTAAGCGATTCATATAATTACACCGATTCTTTTATCGAAGAAAATTTACATACAATACGAATAGAGTTCGAAAATTCTTCGGGTTTCTGTTTGACTTGCAATTGTTATTTCATGACATTGTAAAGGTGAAGTAGTACAAGGTAATTAAAATCCTGCGTTTCAGGAGCGTATGTTTAAAATTATTAATTAGGTGTATAATTATATAGGTGTATATATTATTTCTCTGTAAAACATTAAGATTTAGGAATCTTGAAATCATACTGTTCTACAAAAGAATATCAGAAATAGCAGTTTCATTTACAATTTTTCCAGACTCTAAATGTCGTATTCCTCTGTAAATTGAACTCTTTTATGGTATAATATTGTTCTACAAAAGTTAGCAACACGAACTGAATTTGAGAAACATTAAAGGGGGTTTTTAACTCAGTGGACTCGGTAGTCAAATCAAAGAAGTGGATTGCGCATATATTACAATAGATAATCGAAATACGACGTCATTCCTTAACGGATTTGATATTTAAATAGAATTCGTTTTAAAGTATCATCAAATGTATGAGCTACGCTGAATAATAAAAATTGTTTACAGGTGATAATGGGTGATCGAGCTGCGGCGGAGCGCGCGTGCAAGGACCCTAATCCTATCATAGATGGAAGAAAAGCTAACGTGAATCTCGCCATTTTAGGAGCCAAGCCTAGAGGGAACCTGGCGCCAGGTTAGTGATAACTTTTTCTTATCAATAACGACGACCGTTATCGTTTTGCTGTTGTGGATTGTATAAAAAGAAACGGTACAAATAGTGGAAGCACTCGCTGAGCTATAGATTTTAATTTATGAATTAGGTCCTATGAAGTTGGAGATTTGTATGAAAATTTTAAAAAATAAAAATGTTTGTTATTTTTTTATTTTAGCTAATCGAAGTACCCAAATTATCTATACTATTTTGCCATTTTGATGGCAGTTTGTTTACTGTAGAAGTCTGCTGGATGGGAGGCGATAAAGTCAGTAAAAGTGTTTTGTACTGCCTCTCGGGTGTTGAATTTTTTCTCACTTAAAATATCGTCTAAATTTAAAAAAAAGTAGAAATCTATTGGGCCAAGGCCCGGAGAGTACGATGGGTAAGGGAGAGCTTCCAGCTGTAACTCTCGTAGCTTTGCGATGGTCTGTCGTGAAGTCTGAGCTCACACGTTATCGTGGAGAAGCAAAAGGGACAACGATTGACCAGTCGTGGTTGTTGAATTGCATCATTGTTTACAATTCTTAGCAATAGATATCTGCCGTCAATGTTGTATCATTCGATAAGAAGCTGTGATGTAGAAGTCCAGCACTGGTCCACCAGACGGTCACCATTATCTTCCTATGGGTAATCTCCACCCACTGAGGCTAACGCTTACGGTTATTGCACCGGATGCACTTTTCCCTCGTTTCTTTGCGCCGATTTAGTAGTGCTATGAATGTTTCTTGTGGGACCCACTTATCTAGCTTTATTATCTTTATGATTTGACGCAAGTGCTTCAATGTTGTTTTGACACTAGCTCCAAAGCCCGCAGCAAGCTCAGATGTAGATTGAGTTGCATCCGATTCCACTATCGCCTTCAATTCGTCGTTGTCGGCTGTAGTTACCACGTTACGTTCTTCAACTCAAAATTTCCAGGTCTAAAACAATTAAACTAATAATGGATAGTGTTTATGCAAGCAGCGTTAGGCCCGTACACGTCGTTAATGTTTCGTGTTATTTGCGCAGCGGTATTTCCACGTAGGAACTCATATTCTAATTACGCACCAATCCACAGATAATTAAATCTGAAAATGCTGGTTTAAAAAATCTCCAACTTCAAAGATGAAGACCTATTGTATATATGAACATATTTTCGATTTACTTATAAGTAGTTTGCAGTGAAGCAGTGTAAGTAGTGAAATAGTGACTTAAGACAGTGGGAATATTATATTTTACTCATTAAACACTTGCAAATAAAATGTGTAATGTTGCAGGTCTATAAATACCTTTTAAGTTATATTTCAATTGAAAATCAATGTGTGTAAAGCGTGTTCTTCCTAAAGGAATCGATAATTCGTGTTAATCGAATCGGCAACGTGTTAGGGTATTACTTATTCACTACTAATCGTACTGTCAAAAAGAAAAATTAGACCGAGTAAGTCTAGTAATACAGGCAATAAATGGACAAAACATCAATCGCAAGATTTATCGATACAAAATGAAACTAATGCATAGACTACGACAAATTAAACTAATTGTCTATAACATAAAACCTTAATTTTAGCGTGTGTAAACCGTTAGTTTAGTTATTTTCGTTGTTGTTTATGGAATATGCTATTTAGTTGTATGCATGTTATTGAATGTTGTGATGGTACAAATTTCATTTTATGCTTAGCATGATACTTAAAGCAGAGCTTTTAAAAATGTTGAATAAACAGGGTCCAAGACGGTAAATGTAGATTCGTATATAAAAATTTACAACTTTTCTGATAAAATTAAAATATCCATCTACTTCAGGGAAAAAAAAATAGGTACAAAACTGTTTATAAAGTACGCATCTCCAATAGCTGTCTCGTCCCGGGTATCACTTATCTACTGCTCAGCTGTTTGTAAAAGGAGCATTTTTTGCTTCTACTTACACGTGATACCTTTTTTTTCTTCGTTTTCCAACGTCTCGTCAACAAACAAAAAATGTGAGATCGCTCCGTGTGTGATACACAATGAGCTACGTGGGGGTCAGACGTACATGTGTGCTAGCGCATTAAAATTTATAATATGTTAATCTTTTCGTAACTGTCTAAAATACAAGTAAGGTACAGTGTGTGACCGTCAGTTTTCTGCATTGGAAATATCTGAAATTGCGTTAGTTATTTGTAAGATTGAAGCGTTTTATTGATGAAATGAAGGTAGTGGTAGAAACATTATTAATTACAAATGAGCCGGCCCGACCGGTGTGGTGCAAAGACCTCACAGAAAACCACCAATTTTTTCGTTACTCTTCAACGTGTTACTGAGGTTAGCTTCCCTCGCCTATTTATGGAGGGGGGAGAGGGGATTTACAGTTGGAACTTTTAAAGTGGTTATTATCCATGGACGACGGTGGTCACTCGTTTGCCCTCATACCATAAAAAAACTACTACTGCCTATAACTTCAAGCAAGGTCTTTGAGGATCAGTAGAACGACCAGTAGCAGAGTTTGCAAATAATATGAAATAGAAACAACAAGGTTATGGGTAAAACCCCTTATATCGTACTTTAAGTGCTCTTACATCCTGAAAACCACAACATTTATTTAAAAGTCCTAATAAATAAAATTAATTACCGTTGACATATAAGTGGGTCGAATTATATATCGTTTCGATTAGTAGATAGTGCAACAATCAGATAGCAGGTGCTCAGTGATAACGTACTTATAAGTTTTATCTGTGAGTGTAGTTATCTGTGAGTGTAGTTAGTTAATAAGGAGCCATTGAATAACAATAGACAGGAAACGTTCATATACTCGTATACTGTATTTATATTTGAGAACGCTTGTGTAATAATTATAATAAAACATGGTGCTGAAAGACAAGACGCCGAAAAGGTGTAATGAATAGAGTGACCAAAATAAAGTCTGCGGGTGTTGCACATTGGTTAGTGACCCTGACTGCCGCAAGTCGTCGGTTCGATTCCCAACCAGGATAAATAATTGTGGGATGAGCACGTTTATTTGTTGTGCATGTTATTTATGTATGTATGTATTTATAAATAATTAGGTAGGTACGTTTATAAGCAGGCCTCTTACCATAATACAGGCTCTGCCTAGTTTGGGATTAGACGGCCGTGTGTGAGATGTGTGAAGTCATTAGTACTAGAAAGTATAAAACCAATTTAAAAAAATAATAATACAATTCAATCATGCTTTCAATTAATGACGATAAATTACAAAACTTAATTTGTCTACAGACCAATGTGCAACAATGAAATTTTAATTTATTGAATGTGATGGTGACGTGTCGAACAAGATTGTGATTAGTACACCCGACAAACAGAGGATGTTAAAATCGAGCTAACAGATTTTAAACCTTATACAAATGGAGTAAAAAACTAATTAGCTTGAAAGTGCATTATTTCTTGGGTATAGTATGGGGAGCGAGCCTTCCCGCCCTCGCCGGAAGTCCCTAAACGCTCGGAAACGGAAGTGCTCGGTATACGCGGCTCGCTAATTGATTGTGCCCCACGGACATGCACTGCTGTAACCCTTGCAAGGTGACATATTGTAACCTTCAAGCAATCACTGCATTTGCATATAGATACAAGATAAGAAAAGACAAAATAAAAAACGTAACGTTGTTCTTGATTAAAAAAAGACTCTAGAAGACTAATAAATGCGTAATGTAACTTTAGCTTGTAACAGGAACTGACAAGGGAAAATTACTACTAAAGTAGGTACTGAAAGAAGTGCTTTAAAAAACTAAAACTATTTTTTTTATATTACTTTCCGAATTTAATCTCCTATGATGACGATCATGATTATGCGCTAAATTAATTTTTAAAAGGAAAATTTATCAGAACTACATAGATTTCTAAATAATTTTGTCTTTGTAATAAAACTTGACACACTTTTGAACACTGGCCTCAAATTAAATGACAAATACGAACAAAGACAGGCACAATTTTTTACATAAAATAAAAAAATACAGCTACAGAATTTATTACAGCTTAAAATCTTTGTAAAAAATATAATGTTGTCCGTTAAAAGGCGCATCATATAAACGGCTGCACAGATTTGACTAATTCAACTCCTCTTTTTTAAGTATCTGAAAAAAAGAATGAACTAGAAACAAATACAACAATATATGATATTGTTACATTAATGTATGCCTTGTTTCTATTTAGTACCGGTCGATATGCATCACAGCATAGGTCTTGAAATATAATCTTTATCGACATCGAATACGTACCTAATCTTGACTACACGGATGGCGTAGTGGTTTAAGCGGTCGCCACGCCGCTTACTACTGCGCAGAGTGTTGTCGGTTCGATACCCACATGGGACGACACTTTGTGTGATCCAGAAATAGTTGTTTTGAGTCTAGGTGTTCTTTGTGTCCGTTTCATGTATGTTTGTAACATCCCCCGCGACATAGGATATATTCCTAGTGCGGGAGTTGTCTTTTTTTTTTAAACCTAATATCACTATTGTAGCACTATATGCATCTCGGTCCGTGTTAGTTAGATCATATTCGCGTTGACGTTAAGTTAGTTTTTAAAATGCAATTATTAAGTGTTGTAATACTCTCACCGAAGTAAGTGGTAGTCCTTGTAAATTAAAAAAAAACGAGTGTGCTTTATACCAAACGACTGAAGTAAAACTTCTTGGCTATGAGAGAAAGAGAGAAAGAAAATGTGTGCTCGCACCTCTCTCTCTCTCTCTTGCCCCTAGAGTAATATACGAAACGTAACTCTCTCTGTTTCTATCTTCACTAACTTATATCTCCCTCTCAACTTCCGTTCGCCTAGCTCAATAACACTTTTCGTAACGCTCTCGTCACGCATCACCAGCTTACTCCCCAAGTCAAGCGTAAAGGTGTTTTACTTCAAAAATAAATAAATTCCTAATTAGACTTAATTCTTCTTCTTCTTCATGCTGTTGCAATTCTCTTAATTTTTCGTTTGAATTCGATTTGGATTTAAAGTTAATTGACTACAAACATAAAATACGTACCTACTCGTAG